CTCTCGTTGCTCACTTTGGTTATACCCCAGTCAGCCAGCCGCTGCAGATTCATGGCTTGCAGCACTGCCGGCAGCTCAGATCCTCACCGAAGCTGTCTGAGTTCATGCAGAGAAGCCCTTTGCCAACTATAATGGGCTCCCCTACAAAGGTATGTCAAGGAGTCTGCTTTTGGGTTTCTCACAGCTTGATCTGTTGGGTTATTTGGGGGTAAACCGCTGCGTGATCATGGTAACTCTGACCTGGATTTATCACCACTTGCTCGCTTTTCTTCAAGGGCTGTTTAGTGATCTGCGTGAAATGGAGTAGTGTCCTAGTTCTTACTGGACAGATCTCACTTGGCAGCAGTGTTCACCATCTGAGCAGAGTCCAGGGTTTTAAACAGGCGATGAAAAGGAGCTGCCCAGATTAGGCAGAAGAGCATTAGTGAAGTGCGGTGCCTGAGCTGGTTTGCGCACAGCGACTCGGCTTGAGACGCAAGCGTGTGTCCAGTAGGAATCCCTAGCAGAGACGGCAGACGGTTAAGCAGGTGACAGCCCTGGTGTCTCATGAGAAGCTGGCACTGTGACAGCGTTTCCTCTGTGCTTGTGTTAGGCTGCTACAAATTTTTAGCAGTTTGTTGTCCTTTAATTTTAGTCTTTCTGGGATTGGGGACAAGTAACTGTGTGGGGTGGGATTTCTACCTCTCTATTTCAGGCAGGTTGTTAAGCATACAATTTAATTTTGATAAACAAATGGGGGGGCGAGGGGAACCTTCCTCCTTCGTTTTAAAGACAGACATCTGTTTTTTCTGTTCTTCTTAGGCTGTGTCCCCGTTTGAGTTTCCCAAAACCCCAAGTTCCCAGAATCTCCTCACCCTCTTGGCCCATCAGGGGGTCATGATGACTCCGACACGGAACAAGACCTTGCCAGATCTGAAGGAGATGGGTCATTTTCACTGCCAGCAAACTGGCTTGGGATTGAGGCCTGTGGAAGAGATCAAGGGCAGGTGAGCTATAGTCTGCTTTATACAGTGGTGCTTCGTTCCCTAATACAGGACAGATGGGGCAAATTTCAAACCCCAGCTAACATTGAAGTTGTAATGTAGCATCTGTAAACATTCTGTAGTTATCTGCTAGCACCCTTGGCTTGCAAGCAGATATGATGCAGATTTTTAAAGTCTTCCTCTACAGGCGCAGGCCATGGCCTAGACTTTATAAAATGAAAGATTGTCTGCAGCTTCACACTGTGTTTAATGTCCAGGGTTTCATCAAGTGGGGATGCAGGATTTTGTGACTAGACCAGACGCCCTGCAATTGTGCAGATGGGTGCCTTGCTCGTTGTGGAACCTGTGCCTGTTGTGGCTGAGAGGGTGTTAGGGGTGCTCCTTGTCCATCAAACAGTGGGCACAGGTCTTCAGACCAGAGATCTGTTTGAAAGCCATGTGCTGACTGTCGTGAGCATTGCAGGATACAAAATCATTCAGGTGCTAGCGTTAAGTTTTTCTTACCTGCCTCACTGCAGCTTTCTCCAGTGGTCTGGAGGAGTCCTCTGGTACTTATTTCCATATCTTCCATCAAAGTAAAATTGTGTTGTAATAATGCTGTAGTCAGTACTTGCATTACTGCAGTTAGTCACGGTGGTTGTATGCTTTCTACAAGTAGCAGGAGGTGCTTCAGATGCTTTGTTGAAAGAGGAAGAGTGGTTATTTTAGCTCCAGACTGTTCGCTGTGTAGTGCTAAGCGGTTGTGGACCAGGAATGACACAAACTGGAGTGGAAGTTAGCTGAAACCTTGCACCTGTTGACTTTCTGCATCATGTTATGTCCTCTTTTTAGATCTCTGAGCACAGGCAGGCTCACTGACCTGCTTCTGAAGGCAGCCTTTGGGGCACAGATCTCAGAAGCTGGGAGCAACGACAGCCTGAACAATGAGAAGCCAATGGAAATTGCAGGTAGGTGGGAAGGCCGGGTGGATCTGGCAGGATGGTCCTGGGTTGGGGCGAACAGTTTGCCTGCATGCCCCCTACAAACGGGAGGCTGCTTTTCTGATGGCTTTTGGCAAAGGAAGTGACTGCCGTGTGTGAGGAGCGTAATGGTGTTTGCTTTCTTTTGTGGAGTGCTCAAAGGTCTGTGGGCTACATGTGCTGTGTAACTGCTGGCTAGTGGTGTGACTTTTGTAGGCAGGGCTTCCTCTTTTGGCCCCTTCTGAATGTGATAACTTGTGGAAGTGGGGACTTTCTGCCAGGCAGTTCGAATATGAATGGCTCTGCAAGGGTGGGTCTTCCTGGGCTTGCAGGTTGGGAAGTGAGGAGGGGAGAACAGCTGCAGCAATGCGTAACGCTGCCTAGGCTCGTGTCCTGTAGTCCGTGCCAGCCTGGCCCGGTCATGTTCTCGGGGGATGCCTCCAAAGGAAGCGCTGGCCTGTGCTGGTAACCACCGTCTCCCAAGAGAGTCTGCAGGAACATAAAACTGCTGGGTGAGGCACACCGTGCTCTGAGTAACTTTCCTGTAATGCCAGTCTGCACCTTTCAACTGTCTCCCCAGCTCCCTCAGGTGCTTACGGAGGGACCCTGCACTCTGGTGCCCGGGCTGGGGGCTCTGCCAGCCCATCCCCAGTGATTTTTACTGTCGGATCCCCTCCCAGTGGAACAACCCCCCCACAGACCACGAGGACCAGGATGTTTTCAGGTAAAGGGCTGATACCTACCTGCCTGTTCCAGTGGGAATGCCTGGGGGCAGAGCGATGTGTTGAATTCATTGCTGCTGAACACTGGTGGTGGCAGAGGGCTGCTCAGAGTACAGTCTGTAAGAGTTCAGCTGGTCTAAATGCCTTGGAGGTTCTCGTGCTGGCTCCTGCCGACCCCAGTTATTGCTGATATCTGTTTGCACTGGCACAAGGACTAATGCCAGATAGTGGTTTTCCAGTACTGGAAGAGACAGGCGAACTCTTCTTTTACTTCATTGCTCTCTGCTTCAGGAATAATGCTGCAGCTGTTCATAGACCCACCGTTGCTGATAGGTCAACAAACATAAAGATTGTGTCGTGTTCCGATCATTTTCCCCATGGGTTTTGGATGAGCTGTAAAAGATGAGTGTGACTGTCCGTGCCCAAGAATTTCAGTGCACGAGTACTGTTAGGGAAGGGCCAGGATGGCTCTGTATGCAAAATTATTAGTGGTGTTTCTTATGCTCTGAGCTGCTTAAGTAGAAAATGGGGAAATGCACTCCTGCTTGACAGATACTTCTTTTAAGATGCCAGTGCTCTGGCCTCATCAGCCAACAGTTGAGGCTGTGGTAATTGGCCCTTTTGGGACAGTGTGTCTGAGAGCTGGAGCCTGTGTTCAGTTTAAGAAAATATTTGGACACTTTTATTTGCATTTTTGGCTTGTTTGGGTTCTCGTCTTGGCTGTTCCTCATCTGAATGTAGTCGACTCTGTTGTTCTTAATTACTGCAGGGAAGGTTTGGATGTAACCATGAATGAGCTGCTTGACTGGGATGGGGGGCCACATGGGCTCAGTTCCTGGGTATGGCTTGCATTTCTATCATAACTAAAACCACTCACATCCTTGATTGTCTGGGAAGTTGGGACCATAATCCTTTCTTTGTCTCATCTATTGAGAGGGTAAGCTCTGTAGGGCAGAGACTCTTACAAAGTGTCTGACGGGCCTGTAGCACAATGGAGTTACTATCCTGGCTACAGGCTTTAGCCCCTACTGAAATGTTGTGAATAGAGAATTCAGACTTCCTGTATTGCTTTTGCGGGGATAATAGCAATTTGGAAGCAGATCCAAGCACCAGTTTTTAGTGGGTTGATATTTGGATGCTTAAGGGTCTGCCGAACAGTCAAGATCTCAGATGGGATGCCTGGAAGAGAAGGCTGTTGAATAGTGAACCTACAACACATACACAGCATTAGGTCACGGTGGTCAAAGCAACGCTGCTTGACAAGCTTTGTTTATTAGGTCTGTGCAGTAACTCCTTATGTTATAGTTAATGGTGAAAAGGGGAGCTTTGCAAGCAGAAACTCTGCCCCAAGTGCTTGGACAAGCCATGAGTAAGATCACCCGACAGATATAAAGGCAGAGCCTTTTCAGGAGTCGTCATAACAATTCCTGCAAACAGCCCCTTGGAATTATAGGGTATCCAGAATGTGCTATTGTTGGTCCTTTCCTCTCTCTGAAAGGTGTGGAAATGCTCTGCCGGTCTTTGATGATCCGCTTAGCTTTGAAGCATAGCTGCCAGCAGGGAGAGAGCTTTGGGAGGAGAGGAGACGGTGCCTCTGCCGATCAGTTGTGCATTATTATATTGCTGAACCTTTTGAAGGCAGGGTAGGGCAGCAAATTAAATTTGTGAGTAGAAGAGAAACACCTCCTGCCAAAGGATCAGTGACAGTGGAGTATATCGCCTTGGTAGAATTAGCAGAGTATTGTAGCTGGTGTTGGCATCCCCCCCGTCAGACAGAATATATGCCTCTGTGGCAGTGTGTCAGGGGATATGGAGCACTCTGGAAGTGGTGAATGTATTATGAATAACCTGAGACAGAAACTCCTTTTGAAGTGTCCGTCTCTTATAACCAATATGCTCTTAGGGTAGATTCAGTGGTCAAGAAGGGGGAAAGATGATGGTGAGGAAGTTGTCTGATGGACAGCATACTTACAGGATCTCCTGAATCCTGAGGTTAGGGTCTTGACTCAGCTGAAGTCACTTACTCTCTGCCCAGCCTCCTATTTGTAAAGAGGGGGAAGCAGAAGTGCGGGGCATGTGATGGAAAGCTCTCCTGGTTTGCATGTAAGTGGCTGATGTTTTAAAACCGTGATAAAAACCTCACTTACCAGAGGAGCTCATTCAGTGATAGTGTAAAAGCTAGGGAACCGGGGTTCAAACCATGCTGATCCATGATGGGGAAGTTGGCTATGGCGGTGTATGATAAAAATCAGCCCAAGACATTGTGGCAGGATTCAGAAAGGGTTTAGACAAAAAATAAAAAAAGAGTACTTCTGAATTGTGTCCATAAATGACAGACATTCTGGAAGGTGCGTTAAATCTGCTTGAGCTTGTAAGCTGGTCTACCTGAGTCGCTGAGGAGCTTATGTTGGGGAGTGGTTTTTCCGCATCAAGAGTCCTTGCATCTACCTCCATAGTACCTGTTGCTGGCCCCTATCAGATCCAGGATCCTGGATCCTACAGGATTGTCTCCTCTGCTGGGCGAGGAATACCTGGCCTACTATTAATATCTTCAGTAATTCCTTTGCCTATTTTTCTTCTCAGTGGGGTCTTCCAGCTCTCTCAGTTCTGGAGGCTCATTCACCGGCAGGCACTTGGCAGTGGGAACTGGTGGGGATGCTGTGGAAGGCCCCTCAAGTCTTCGGTACGCTTTTGCTGATCCGATCACCGCCAACCTGGAAGGTGCTGTTACGTTTGAGGCACCGGAGTTACCCGAAGAGACGCTCATGGAGGTGGGTATATCCCAGGGACTTGTTAGGGGCAAAGGATGGGGGAATGAAAGTAAAGCAGATCCAGAGGTCAGATGACTCTGTGTTTGCAGCCAAGGGGGTTGCTTCCAAAGATGGAGCAAACTGGTTTCAAGAGAGCAAGGTCAGTGCAGTGCTCAGAAAGCCCAGGGCATATTTAGCACAGTGACTTTTGAGCCTGCTACCAAGCTGTTTAGTCCATGAGACAGCCCATGACCGGGGTTAAAATTCACCATTTCCAAAGCTGAAATTGCAGGTTGGAAACACCAGTTACCTGATGCACTCTATATTAACAGCTTCTGAAGAAAACCCCGGTACTTTGGGCCTTTTCCCTTTTAAAAGGCTCAACATTATCAATAGCTGACTTGAGAGCGTGAGTAGCTTAGTGCATCAAATGACTGCCTGCTGCATGCACCTGGGGAGTCAGGCAGCGATACAGCCTCTGCTGAAAGGATCTGATAAAAAGTAAACTGGACACTTCTGTTACTGGGGGCAGGGGCACACCATGTTCTGCACCAGAACGGCTGAACCAGATTGTCGAGCTGAAGGGCTGCCAGGCTCCCCTTCTCTGCGGGCTGAAGATGGGCTGAAGCAGAGCAAATGCTTTTGTAGCTGAGATATATTTGAAATGTAGGTCAGGCTGCTCATTTGCAGTAGAGGTGGGAGGCAGATTCAGTCACAGTTTCAGCTCTGCTCGTGATACCTCCTTGGGCTGTCTGGGACTGGGGAAGGCTCTTTGTATCTGAACTTTGCTGGTGTTGCTAAAAAACCCTAGATAACCGCAGAGATAGGCATACATTGTTTTAAGGATGTGGGTTTGCTCTTCTATTTCAGATTTTATTTAGCTCTTTCTTCTTTGTCAATTATGCGTTGAATTGCATTTGTTTGCTTAATTACCTGCAGAGCCACGGGGCTAGGACTTCCAGCATTGATGTGATTGCAATAGTAGTGAGTTTAACTCAGCATCCTACCTGTGTGAGGTCCCAGAAGTATGGGGCCCTGCCAGCTTGCCACCACTTCGGACACTGGTCTGAAGAGAAGTGTCCTAAGGAAGTACCAACTTGATCTTGTTGGTAGCGCTTAGCTTCTATGTCTGTAATGAGTCATTTGGGTTCGGTCGTCGTTTCTGCTGAGCGCAGTAATCCATTTGCATGTCACAAAACAGCATATTTCAAGACCCCTTTGTGTTCTGTGGAGTTGGCCAGAATGCAAACCTGGCAGTTTTTCTGACTTCTGCTGATACTTTCAGGGCGTTGAAATGTTACTGTTTAAGCACCCTTGTTTCTCTTGAGCAAAGCTGTTGCATTCAGACGGGTGGTTCTTCCATCTTTTGTAAAAGTTTCTTTGGGTGCAGACAAGGCAAACTGAAGGCTAGGTTTTAGTTTCTTTTGCAGTGCTTTAAAAAGACAATCCAGAGATGGCTACGGAAGGAAAGACTCTTGTGATGCCAGATGAGGCCACAAATGCCAGCATAGTTAATAGAAGCTGACTGTATGAGCAGAGAGGAAGGACTGTGCGTTGGTTGGAGATACCAGGCTGAGACCTGCAAGATCTCAGCAGTTTCCTGCTCAGCCACGAACTTCTTGTATGACTTGGCGATTACTTAATCTCCATGTTCCTCCTCTGCTTTTAAAGAAAATAGAGGAAGATGGCGATAGCACTTCCTTACCATACTGGACTGTCCAGGTCGAAAGATAGTGGGAGGAGAGATTCCTATTTCCGATAGTCAAAGCTGCCTTAGCGGCCAAGTGCCTGAGCCAGTGAATGAAAAACAAAAGCTCGCAGAACTTGAGCATGGGTTTTCTTTGGTAAAATCATGTAGGAAACATCCTTACCAGCCCCCTTTGAGAGCACTGAGCCACTGAAGATTTGAAGATCGAGCAGGTTAGCCACTTCTCTACAGAGAGAGTACGAACAATGGAGTTGCATCTGATCCAGGCAGCAATTCATTTTGTAGACCCACAAGCATTCAGTTTTTCCGCAAATACCAACTTCCCAAAAATGCTTGCAGTGACTTAAGCAATGCAGCTTCCCAGAAATGGGATAATCCCCTTGGATCTGTAATAGCAGAGGAAAAACTACCTTGAAATGAACGTAGCACTTAGTGTGAGGGGCTCTCTTCCCTCACTAGCTGGACAGGAGTTGCAGATAAAAGGTTGTCCTTGCTGTCTCTTCAGAGGACCTCACCCAGGGCTCACTGCACTGAACTGGGAGGGTATGAAGACCAAGGGCTAAGTGAGGGCTGGGCTGAAGGGTGGGACACGCTTTGTTTGCAGTTTTCTATGGCGTAGGAGGTTGTCACTCTCTCATGAAATCCACACCCGCTTTCAGTTTTGTACCAGCGTTGTTGTGGTGGGAACCAGAGCTGAGCCCACGGTGCAGATGGTCTCTCCCCCTTCCTGGCTGGCTTCTGAAAGAGTCCCACAGACCTGGGATCCTCCTCGGGAAGGGGGCATGTAATTTTGGAGCAAGTCTCCCCATCTTCTCCAGGGAGCTGCCCGGAAATTTCTGGCCTGTCACTTGCTGCTGTTACTGTGGAGGAGGAACCGGTGCGGTGTGCGGGCTCGAGGCTGAGTTTGGCTGTCCCTGCCCAAAGCAGAGGTGTAGGGGGGTTTGGGGCTCAGGTGTTATTTCTGTAAGCTGGGATGAGTTGCTGGCACAGCTGTAGGTGAGCAGCCCTCCCTGGCATGCCAGCTTTCCCTCTGTAACCCCCACTTTGGCATCCCTTCAACAGCAAGAGCACACTGACATCCTGCGCAGCCTCCGCTTCACGCTGGCCTTTGTCCACTACGTGATGGAAATTGCCGCCTTTAAGGGCAGCTCCAGCGAGATGAGCAGTTCAGTGACATCTGAGTACCAGCTCCAGGAGAGCGTGGTGGCCGACCAGATCAGCCTCCTCAGCCGGGAGTGGAGGTAAGGACCGAGGAGAGAGCCGCCCTGCTCCCAAGTCTTCTGTCACTCCCTCCCACCCCACCTATCGTTAGGTACCAAGAGTCCTTCGGGACACTTACCACTGTCCCATCGATCTGTTTGCATTGCCATGTGCTTTCTTCGCAGCTATGCAGAGCAGCTCGTGCTGTATCTGAAAGTAGCGGAGCTTCTGTCCTCGGGGCTGCAGATGGCCATAGAGCAGATCAAAGCTGGCAAGCTGTGCCTCTCCTCCACCGTCAAGCAAGGTAAGGGGCCGCCGGGCACACGGCTCAAAGGACTCGCCTGGAATGGAAGTATTAAAAGTATCGCAAAGGGAATGGAGGGGGTTGAGTTGAGGGTGAACCCCCACCGGTGTGGGCAGGGGCTTATTTCTTATCGTCCCCTTGCACAGCCGGGTCTTTTTTGTTCGCACTGAGGGGAATGTTCCTCTCTCCGCATTGACTTTAGGTCTCAGAACTCCTGCTCATGCCCCTGTGAGAATCTTCAGCACTAATTAGTGAGAGGGGAATGTATCTTACCTGATTCCTTGTACATCTCTCATCTCAGGTGCTTATTTGTACTTGACGTGTCCAACTTAATTACACAGTGCATGTCCTAGGAAGTGCTTACTTGGCAAATGGAGACCTGTCTTGGCAGTGGTGATTCTTCAAGTGAAACACAAACACAGGAAGTAAAATACTGATAATGCCAGAGTCACTTCTTTGCTAGTGTCACAGCCTTACGTTTGCATCTGACTGGCTGGCTTGAGATGTGAGCTGGCTGTGATTCGGTGATTAGGAAAAATAATTTTAAAACTCCCATTGTAATATTACTGAGGGAGCTTTGTGAAGCACTTGAAGTACTCGACCCATCAGCTGCCTTCCCCAAGAGCTTAGTCTTTGAAACTACTCGTGCTGCCTTGGGATGGGGTGTAAAAAAAAATAGGAGTTAAATACAATAGAATCATAGAATCATTGAGGTTGGAAGAGACCTCCAAGATCATCGAGTCCAACCGTCAACCCAACAACACCATGCCCACTAAACCATGTCCCTCAGCGCCTCATCTACCCGTCTTTTAAATACCTCCAGGGACGGTGACTCAACCACTTCCCTGGGCAGCCTGTTCCAATGTTTAACTACTCTTTCAGTAAAGAAATTTTTCCCCACATCCAATCTAAACCTCCCCTGGCGCAACTTGAGGCCATTTCCTCTCGTCCTTTCGCCAGTTACTTGGGAGAAGAGACCGACCCCCCCCTCGCTACAACCTCCTTTCAGGTAGTTGTAGAGAGCGATGAGGTCTCCCCTCAGCCTCCTTTTCTCCAGGCTGAACAACCCCAGCTCCCTCAGCCGCTCCTCAGCAGACTTGTTCTCCAGACCCCAGACCAATGAGCACACATGTGTTGTAGCGGGCAGTGTGGAGCAAGATACACAGGTTTAGCCACACATCTTCCACAAGTTCAGGCTAACAGGAAAGTTGTCATAAGCCAAATAAATTACTCCTTTTCAGGGCAGATTGCAACTTCTAGATTCGTAGGGTAATTTGACCTTCAGTGTGTGGGAATTGGGCAAGGTTGTCTTTTCTTATTTTTCTCCCCACAAAATACTGCTCCCTTGAGGTTTTCCAGGGCACAGTGAGGACAAGAGGGTTTTCAAGGTACTTGTGTCCCATGTATATGGAAAAAGCAGGGAAGCACGACAGGACGCTGCCCTGGAGTGTCCTTGGCCAGTGTGTGCCAGGCAGGGTTCCTACCCACAGCCATCCTCTTTTTCCTGATAATTTGGGCACAGCTCAGAGCTCTGACTGAATTCCATGGAGGAGGATATTGCTGTATTTGTGTGTTGTTTTGGTTTTTAAATAGTCTCTCTTGACTCTCTTCTCATGGAGCTTTTCATTTTGCCTTCCTGATGTCACCCACGAGCTTTGGGGTTCCCACTCCCTCTCAAATTCCTTCTGAGCAAGGGTGATCTGACAGTCTGACCCTGGCAGGGTTATGTTTTTGTGCCTCGGTCCTTTTCTCTGATGAAGAGTTACAGCAGCTTTTCTTCCTGGAGGCAAGCTCTTCTCTGGCTCTCTGCTCTCTTATCTCTGCCTGGGAAGGCTGGATTTAGTCGCAAGGCCTGGCTGTCATGTGAGGTTGCCCCTCTGCATCGCAGCTGAGAGAGGCTGGTTCATGGTATGGGTTAATTTCCCTCCCCCAGGAGCAAATCATGCAGCATGGGTATTTTCAGATGTGCACGTAGCAGTTAATACTCATCAGACGTTGGTGGGAGTTTGTATTCAGTACTCTGCGTAGATCATGCCATGCAGCTAGGGAGACTCAAGCCTGTGGCATCACTTGCTGTTTTGGATTGTTGTTTAATTCCTCAGAATCATATTTGATTCCTGATTCTCTGTCCCGTAACCTTCCCGTACGAGCTGCCGTGGTTCAGGAAAGGAGGTGGCCTTTCACAGGCATCAGTGTCTCTTCTATCTGGGACAGCAGAGTCCTGAGAGAGATTCCCTTGCTTAGTCAGTGCTGCTCATCCGCACTCAGCTCCAACAGCTACCACACGCAAGTCACGTACTTCTTCACGGCGTGTCATCACCCATCAAGTAGCAGAAGCTTTGTATCTGGCACGTCTGTTGCTTCTGGTGCTGCGTGAGACGTGTTGCGTGGTGCAAACTGCTCTCTGCCTTGTTGCAGCTGAAGGAAACAAAAATAGACCTGGCCTCAGGTGAACTAGGCATGTGTGTAGGCGTTGCCACGTGCAGGCTTATAACTGGTGAAGGTGACAGAGGAAAGGAAAAAGACCCTGTTGGTGCAGCAGGTACTTTCCTGCCAGTCTTTTGGCCTTAACATAACCCCGTTGTCTTGAAGTTACTCATTTGGGGTCCTGTGCGTGGAGATTGGGAGGCACAGGGAGAACTGGAAGTAGCGCGTAAAGCATTTCTTTCCTTTACTCTAGTTGTGAAGAAGCTGAATGAGCTTTATAAATCCAGTGTATCATCCTGCCACTGCCTCAACATGAGACTCCAGAGGTTCTTCTTGGACAAACAGAAACTCATGGATCGGATCAACAGCATCACCGCAGAGAAGCTCATCTTCAGCTACGCTGTGCAAATGGTAATGACCATACGGTGACTGGGAGCAGGGTTAGCCCAGGGCCAGTGCTGGGCATTAACGGTTCCTGCTGGTGGCCTTAGCAGATGGTTCTACTCATGATGCTGTGTGCAGCCTCTGGAGGCTGGGCGAGGGAGGTGTTCATGCAGCTGAGGGACCATGCTGGGAAAGCTGAGTCTGGTCTGGGAGTAACCTCTTGGCACGGGGTTGTTGCCTGCAGGTGCAGTCTGCAGCCCTGGATGAGATGTTCCACCACAGAGAGGACTGCGCACAGAGGTACCACAAGGCTCTGCTGCTGATGGAGGGGCTCCTGAACATCATCACCGAACAGGGGGACATAGAAAACATCAATAAATGTGAGTGTTCAGTGACTTTTTTTTTTTCCTCCCACTGGAACATGTGTTTTTCTAGCTGCATGGCTCAGAAATTTCAGTACCCAGCATCCTTTTTTCCTTTGGCTACATCTTGGTGGACATAGCAGAGATCTCTTGGCTTGTTACAGCTCCGCGCAGCCTGGCCTCCTGCTTTCCCAGCGGGAAAACTGTTAGAAATGCAGTTCCCTGTTCTGAGCCATATTTTGAGAGCTTCCCATGCAGAGTGATTGCCAGGGCTTTGTTGGAGCTTTTGATGTGTGAAAGAACTTGCTGAAGGAAGTGGTTTGGCAACAGCAGGGGCCCGGGTTTGGTTTCCATCCGGAACCATCCCTCTGATTGCACAGAGCACTTGGGAATGTGAAACTGCGGTGGCTGTCGGGCAGAGGTGGCCGATCAGCACAGCGAGGGCTCCTTCCAACACGTCTTCTGAAACAGGACTGCTCGTCTGTCTGGTTCCCCAGCCCCAGGCCTGGCTGAGAAGGCAGCAGACAAATATTCTTCTCATCAGCAAGTGCTTGTTGTAGCCGTGAAAGCTGAACTCTTACCTGCTTGCTATCGTTTGGCTTCCTCTCCTAGGGACAGATGGACCCCTCTGCTGCTCCGAGCTGTCACCTCTCTCGCACTCTCCCTTTGTCGTGAGGGGTGTTACTCTCCGCTGCTGCAGGCTCTGCAGCTAACACACGTGGAGCGGAAAGGACTGACCTTACTTGCTCTGAGCGCACTTTTCCTGCCCTTATGGCCGGGGTTTAATCCGTCGTCTCTCTCTACGGGAGGCAGGCAGAGGGGATGGGGGATAGCCATCATCTGTTAGAGCAGCTTGACTTGGCCTCGGCTCTGCGCCCTCGCAGCTAAACCAGCCCACCCGCAGCAGTCCCCGACGGCTGAAGGGAAAGGGCACAGCTGGCAAACCATGCCTCTCCCCTCCGCTCACTGCCGAATGCGTTTCTTGGGCCGGCGTCCAGAGTGCTGCCAGGCTGCTCTAGTCATCCGTGTAGGCAGAGCTCTCGGATAGGTAATGAGAGGAGAGATATCTGGCTCACAGGCAATCAGTCAGTTAATTATCACCAACTTTCACAGTTGACATGAGGCTCACTGGAGGAGAGCAAAGGGAGACTGGCAGGTCGTGTGCGTGCTGGAGGGCTCAGTGAATAGGGAATACTAAGTAGTTTCTATCGTACCATTTCTTACCAAACCTAAATCACATCTTTTGTCCAGCGATACAGTTAATGCATCTAATAGATTTCTTTTCCCAGTTGATATCCTGGTATTCCCTGTTTTACCCTATGTTCCAGCTTCCTGATTGAGCTGTTCTCTGGTAGGCCGTAGTGGGTACGCGTTTCATTTTAGATCTCAGGTATACGATTACTTATTTCTGAAAAGTAAAATGATGAACCTAGAAATAAAGCAAGTCTTCCTGGAAGAGGAATGAATTCCGCCAGACGTTTAGCTTTTGAGAGAGTCTTGGGCTCAGGCGATGAGAATCTGGCACTGACCACGCTGGGCTGGGCTCGGTCTCTCGGTTGTAAGCCGTGACAAACGGCACTGGAGACCCTGAGTCGTCTTGCCCGCTGGCAAAAGCCGCTCCAATAACTGAAAGTGAGTGCGTTGTTCCCGGCGGACAGTGGTTCTTTATACCATCGTGATACCTCTGCCAGAACTGCTGCCTCCTGGCTTTTGTTGTTGGATCTCCAGTTATTCAACCCTTTGACCTGTCCCATCCCAGCATGGTGTTTGCGGTCAGGTCCTCACCTCGTCTAAATCGGTACGTGGTAACGATTGTCGAAGGGCTGCTTAGATTTTGCTGAAGTTCTGCCTTTTTTTTAATTTCTTTTTTTTTTTCAGTCTCCAGCATGTTTTGGTAGTCTTTATACTGCCAGGAAAATGAGAAGTTGATTTCTTTTGTTGTTTTTTTTTTTCTCTCCCAGGTAAGCTGTGCATCGAGCGCAGGCTGTCAGCTCTGCTGTCGGGGTTCTGCGCCTGATTGCAGTGGTGGTGGTGTGTTCTTCACGCACCTCGCCCCAGCTGATCACTTTGTTTCCAACGGCCTGCTGCTGTGGTGGGAAACGATTTTGGCAGTAGAAGACCTGGAGGATGAACTGCTCGATGTTTTGTATTTGGACGTTTTGGGAAGCTGTTCCACAGACTCGGATTCCTTCATGGGGATGTGTGACTGCAGCAAGCACAAATACTTCCCTGCCCAAAGGCCTGGGCGAAGACGTAGCCGATGTGGAAAGGTTTCCCTCGTTGGCGGAGGGGACAAAGGATAGAAGTCTGCTTCTTCCCAGCACTTTGAAGGATAAGACTGCTGCCTCTCCCTCTTGCTTAAGAACAGGGTATTCCAGTGCTGTGTCCATTGCAGGCAATGGATGTGCTGAAACTGCTGGCTTCAGTTAGCGTTGGAGGGTGTCATTCAGAAATCAAGGCCAGTTTGTGTACTCTTCCCTACCCAGCTGAGTGCCAGGCGTCCTCAAGCTTCCTGGCAACCCGAGGCTCCCCTCCTTTCTCTCCGTTGCCCCTTCTCATACGTGTTTATGCCTTGGAGTGCTTACTGAATGGCGGAGAGGAGGGAGTCGGCTCCCTTTCGCCTGAGCATTGCTGAAGTAGCCCCCACCTCCTGCAGACTCAGCGAGCGAGGCAGAGGACGCGCTGCTGCTGGGGAGGTTTGCATCTCCCGTGGGTGTGGTGTGGACTGCCTCTCTGCCTGGATGGGCAAACGACACGGGGACAGAGCCTCTGTGCAGGGAACAGGAGGACGACAGAAAGCCTGACGCTCCTGTGTTCGTAAGAAGCCAAAATGAATCCGTTCCTCCCTTGGTCCCCAAGCTCAGCGGGATCACCGTGAAAGACTCCCGGCTGTTCAGCGCGGCCCGTCAGTACATATCTACCAGGAGGAGGCACTAGCGCTGTCCTGCTTTCAGCTGTTGGCTCGATAACCCCTTTCCTGGAGCCCTCACCCCACCCCCAAACTGAAAACACTAGCTTTGTGAATCAAAGGAGCACTTTACACACTGTGGGGACTTGAGAAGTTGACTTTGCATCACACAACAACCCAGGAACATCGCGACTGTTAGGAATGCTGTTCCTTTTATTCCTTTCCTTGCTTCCTGGTTGTTTTATTGCACTACGTGTGTGCGTATATTAATATGTATTCCTAAGGGCGAATATATATTGATATATATATATATGGTTTGTGTGTAACTGTACGTATTTAACTGTACTGTATCTTGTGAGAGGCAAAAAGCACTGCGGAGTCCGTGCTGTTCCTCCTCCACGCCAGGCAAAGCTGTCTTGCAGTCTGGCAGTACCACGATTTGTTTCGTTTCGTTTTTTATTTAAATGTTCTTTTAAGGACAGTCAGTATAAAGCTCCGTGCTTTTTAAGAGCTCAAGAACAGGCGTTAAGATGCTACACACTTACAATTGGAAATGCATTTTTTAAGAAGTTTTATTTGCTGCTTCATTTTTTTTTTTATAAAGAAATCTCGTAGTGTTCAGTTTTATGTTCAGCATTTCTTTTAAGGAGACTCTGTAGCCAAATGAGACTGCGGGTGCGAGTGGCTCGAGTTCCGGCTGAGGCTTCGGATGCCGTGAGCATGTGCGTGAGAGGATAGCTGGCTGCCTTTCCGTCTGTCTGCGTGCGCATGTGTGTGTCTTAATTTATCAGAGTCATGGCAGTATTGTGTTAGCGCTGGGCAGAAAAGTATCTTTGAAAGCAACTCGAAACCTCAGGCTTCGTTTTTGGGGATCTAAAAATGTTTTGCACATGGTGGTTAAGTCCTCATTGCTTTTTTTTCTCCTCTCAATATTGGCACGATCAGTGTGATACTTTACAAGGGTTTCAGGAGCAACTTAATTGACTTCGGAGCCGGCGTCCTCGTTGGCAACGTGGGTGTTTCTGATCACGGAGCAGAAATGCCCGTAAAGAAATTTAGAAATATTTCAGATTGCCCCAACCAGGGAAGTTTAAGTGTAGCTTTCACAAATGCTTCAGTATTGGGCCGCTGTTATATCGTACGTTCACAGCCTGCTGCTTCTGTGGCCGTTCGTGTTTGTGGAAGAAAAGCAAAAAAAAACCCACCCCCAAAAAAAGACAAACCCACCAAAACACCCCCCCCCCCCCAGCCTGTGGCCAGA